TGATTGGTTGATTTATTATCCAATGAAAACTCACTCTCTTTCCTTTCAGTTTCATTGGGAAGAATTTCATTCCTTTCAGTGGATGTATTTGTTTTAGTCAACTTGTCAATCAAATTTGATTCTGTTATCTGGTTGGCTGATTCATTACCCAATGGACACCCATTTGTGTTTGTGGTTACATTGTGTTGAACTTCATTATCTTCATTAAATGTGATATCATTATGTAACTCAGCTTCGATAAAATCACTGTCCGAGTAATTGAATTTATCAGCTAATTGTGGCTCAATTTTTCCAGGAATAATTTCATCTCCTTCACAAAAGACTTCTACAGACCCACCAACATGACCAGCTGGTACCATGCTGTCTTTCTGTTCTACTGTTATTCCAGGCTTTTTAATGCTGTCTTTTGAGAAGTTCAATTGTTTCTGTCTGGCTTGTCGGCCATACAATAAATAAGATTCAATTGGAAGAAGACGGCTTTGTTCAACACTATCCAGAATCCATTGAGGATGACCAATTTTCTTGTCTCTGAAAGACATTCAATGTTATTTACATATTTTTGCCTGMAATGCATTCTAGGCATGGTCCACACACAAGGTATCGTAGCAGAATAACTACCATCTTTCTAGAGAACAATCTTAATTCATTCAAATGCTAAACAGCTGCTAAAACACTGATTTCAACTGCTAAAAAGAATGTCAAAATCCCCCAACACCAGYCCCTCCACAGGTAGCAGCAAAGGCTCTTTAAGATTGGTTATTATGTAACCACCCCTCCCCCTCAATATTTTACAGTTATTTTCACTGACGAGTTTTAATGCTGGTAATATGGAATTTTACAAACCAAATCGCCACCTTGAAAGGTGCCGAGCCTTTGCATCAAAGCGAGACAGAAGTTGAGCTTGCAATGATAGATACATGTGAATAATAGACCTAATCGGCTAACGGCGTTGCTATGTACGTTGCCACCCAATTCAAATCCTGTGGGAAAAAGAACTTTTGTTTCTAAGAATTCAACTGTGAAATGAAAATACAACGAACAATGAAACTTACTCCCGGGTGGTTTGAATTGGGTTGAAGCCGATTAGGTCTATTGTCTTATGTGTCGAACAAATGGTTACTATCACTGCAAGCTCAACTCCTGTCTCGCTTTGATGCAAAGTCTCARTTACCTTTCAATGAACTACCTTAATGAACTACAAATGAAGTGTTGTAAAAATTTCTCCCTGAGGTCCCTATTTCATTGACGGATTCCATAAGTTGTAGTATTTGCTCCTTGATTTTTTGGTTTATCGCTCAAAAAATGAGCGACAAAATTCGCACTTAAAACATGAGCAACAAAAAATAAGTGAAAGAGAGGGAACTAGTACCGACTTATGGAATCAGTCTACCTATTTCATTAAGATGGTAATGACCAGTAATCTCTTCCAATAGTCCAGATA